CTCCTCCTCCTCCTCCTCCTCCTCCTCCTCCTCCTCCTCCTCCTCCTCCTCCTCCTCCTCCTCCTCCTCCTCCTCCTCCTCCTCCTCCTCCTCCTCCTCCTCCTCCTCCTCCTCCTCCTCCTCCTCCTCCTCCTCCTCCTCCTCATCATCATCATCATCATCACCACCACCACCATCATCATCATCATCATCATCAACTTCCTGGAGACGAATCCTTTTTGACAAGCTAACACTCCCTCAGCTGTTCAATAACACCAACCTTGCCACCGTTAATATACGAGTAATCCGAAGGTTCACTGCCATTTTCACAGGATTTCTATCCTAAGCCTGGTGAAACCATCCAATATTCTCATGCCCTATTTCATAAAATATTAATTTTAATATCATCACTTTATCTACGCAAGATCTTCCAAATGATCCCTTCAGACTGCCCGACTAAAATGTATTTCTCGCGTGTTGCATATCTCGACCACCTCATCAGCCTTGATTTTACCACCGTAATAATATTCGGTGAAGAGAATAAATTATGAAGCTCCTCGATATTATTAGTGGTGGTGGTGGTGGTGGTGGTGGTGATGATGATGATGATGATGATGATGATGATGAGGAGGAGGAGGAGGAGGAGCAGATGGAGGAGCAGCAACAGGAGGTTGATATCGATAATAATGAGGAATCCACTAGCCACTTAACAAAATATACCTACACATAATATCACAGTATTCTTCAACGAAGTATAAATATATAAGAGGTACTTGAAACGTAAACACAGAATGCATTTTGCTGTATATCAACACGGTAGGCAATGAAATACGAAGAACACGCGGGTAAATTTTAGAAACGCTGGTATAATGCATTNTTATTATTATTATCATCACTATTATTAATATTATTTACTAGATGAAGCCAAGAAATATGCAAGCAGAAAGCAGAACCCATAAAATTTCAGAATTGACCGCCTCTGTGGTCTAGTGGTCAGAGTTCCGGGCTACAGATCCAGAGGTACCGGGTTCGATTCCCGCTACCAGATTTTCTGAGAAGTAGTTGGTCTGGAACGGGGTCCATTCAGCCTCGTAAGGATAACTGAGGACATATTTCAAGGAAATAGCGCTTCCGGTCTAGAAAACCGAAATTAACGGCCGTGGGGATTCGTTGCACTGACCACGCGACACCCTCTATCCGCTAAGTTGGCACTAACTTCGCCGACAAGCGGCGGTCGCTCGGTCGGTATAGTTCGTTTGCGGACTAAACCCACGGAGTTTCTATAATTTTTATATATATTCTCTCCACTGAACCTAATTTGCAGCTACAGTGCTCTGTATTGAGAGACGTGCATGATTTACTGACACCATTCTGGCTTGTTTAACTACGATACTGAAAACTGTAGGATACACGTATATCGCACAAGTAATTGTGCAGTAAATAAATTAGCCCATAAACCGTCAGTTAATATCAAATCATCTTGTTAATCCTTTCAAGCATGGTGATTATTATGTATGTACCATCTGCATTAACAATGAAAGCTGTATTTTTTCGGCTGAGTATATTTATGTGTTTTCTATCATTCTCGAAACACGCAATTATTTCCATGAAAATGATTAACAAATTGGCCTTATAACGGAGATGCACTTTGTGTTCTGTGACGTTGGAATTATTAAAAATTATATTTAGATGAATTTCAAGCTTCAAGGGATTAAGAAAACCTCTTCACGCAACATCCTCTTTACGACTGTATTCTGGAAAATTCCTACTTGCACTGACGTTGGTTCAAGCCACAGTTTTATTTAGAAAAAGAAGGAATGAATAGATACTGTACCTAAAAGCATTACTGTAAAGCAAACGGCCTTGCAAAAACTAGGTATTTAGTAATTTATACCCTATTATCACAAAACTTTCTCTTTGTCGCTCATGTGGGAATGTAAAAGGATATTCCCCCTTTACCCAGCAAAGTTCAGAGTATACACATTGTACAGTACTAACTGACTATACGAATCTGTAAATTGTTTCTTCTCCTGCTCTCGCAGAAATACATTTCTGTTTCTTTGAATTGCAGCTATGAAACGGCACTTTATGCTTAGTAGAATAATGACATATCATTCCAATTAAATAAGGATATTATACAAATGTGTCTCTTTGTTAAGAGAAATATATTTCTTAATATAGCTAAAATTTCCAGAAATCTATACATTTAATGCTTTTTGCTGCTTTATTTTTAAAGATGTGTTCGGAAAGTGTGTTATACTTATTCATTCGCTTTTCTTACTTCAAATTACGTGTAACACAGAACACAAAACAACGGACAAATCCTCTGTTTCTCCACATAATTTGCAGACCAATTCCCACCTACCTACCTACCACCTTTAGGGTTCCGCTGAGGAGAAATCAGGGCTCAGTGCTTGAAATGACTAAAGCACCTAAGCTTCCTTCAGGTGCCATCAATGTTGTGCATTAATTGTATGCATTCACTATTGTCCCACGGTACAGAAACTGAAGAAGGGTAATGCATTCCAAATAGTGTCAAAACACCCCAGCAGACTGCTGGGAGTGTCTTGCCCAGGCCTTACCCATTGTAGGTTCCACACCTGTGAACAACTAAAATGACGTCTAAAGGCGCGTCCACATTACTCGTGCTCGTGCTCGTGCTCGTGCTCGTGCTCGTGCTCGTGTGACTCGCTATGTTCGCGAGTAATGTGGACGATATGACAAGTCACGAGACAAGCAAATTTTAAATTTTTAATTTAAAAACTAGCCAATAAATTAAAATACGACTACAGCCTATACACACTACGAATAAATATACGAATCCTCACGAGCCGAAGCCTAGCGAGCAACTGAAGTAGTGTGGACGAAGATTTACGAGCACAAGTAAAAGCCAGACGAGTCTCCCGACGAGCACAAGCCTGGTGAGTACGAGCACGAGCAATGTGGACGCGCCTTTAGGGAAACACTTCTGATATTATGATGATGATGATGATGAGATAAAATCCAAAATGTGCTGGTTGATGTACACACTGAGATCTTGAAGACTTCAATCTTCTGGGATATAACCCACTGTACTCCGATGAAAGAAAACAGACGTTTCGGAGAAACATATCGCCTCAATTTTTAAGGTCGAAGAGTAAGCTAAGCAAGAAACCAGGATGAAACAGGCAGCAAGCAAAGCTGGATTCTTGTTCGGCTTGCTCTTTGACCCTGAAGATGGAGGTGAAATTCCTCCGAAACTTCATTAGACACACCGGGCTACACGTTTTTATATCCCAGAAGATGAAACTCTTCATAATCATTGCTGAGATAGCCTCAGATCCAGCTGAGAGCTTATCGGATCTCCGCTGAAATTAAAAAAAGGACAATGTACCGTTAGGGGAAAATGTCTATATTGGTCTGGCAAATACATGGATAAATTGGCGATTTGTCCGTTATACATTCTTGTTTTGGAAATGTATACCAGATACGATTATGATATGCCCCTGGTAGAATGTCCTACTAGCAGGATTACCTGACGCACTGCAAATGGATCAGCTTAAATTACAACATAATTTCTGGATAAATTTATCATATCAAAAAGAAAATGTGGCAGAAAAATGAGAATGTTCAACTCTATTGTTACCGAAGTCCTCTATTTGGCTATGATCCTGAACCAGTTCCACCCACCCTAAAATCCTCTTTAATACTGTCCATCTCCATTGTCTTCCCCATGTTTCAAGCAACCGCTCTTTAAGGAGATTCACTACCAAAGTTCTGCATGAAATTCTCTTTGCCCCATTTCGAGCTACATGTCCACACCACAGTAATCTCCTCTATATCATTACTGTAGCAATACTAGGTGATATACATAAATTACCAAGTTCGTCATTATGCAGTACTACAACGAAGCCAAAGCACTTTCAACGGGCAATGTTAAAAACAAATTTCGACATAAATACTTGATGTCGATAGTTTGAAGAGTTCTGGAAATACGGTTACATTTATACTATGACACTAGACTACTTGACAGAAAATCGATATGCACGAGGTGGTCCCATTAGAGGTTATGTTTGGCAAAGGTTGCTTATAAAACAAACCCTGTCAAAAATACTTACGTTATCTCTTTGAACAACTGTAAGCAGATGGGCATAGTCTATTCCGTTACGAAATACCAGAGATACATCTATTTTGGTCATAATCTGACCAATTGTAACAGTCCATGAAAGGATGATTTGGTTCTCACATGCAAACTAAACGCTGGCAGACGACCTGAACGGTTCAGTCATTTTTACCTTACCTGTATACTGTCCATTTCTTCCCGTGCCTTTTGTAATCTTCTTGTGAATGAAAAGTTTTGTCTTCAGAGATATAACGCTGGGTAGGCCGTTGTAGACACATCTCAGAAGAAAGATCTCTTTATAATCAACGCTGAGAGCTCTACAAATCCTATATTCTTGTGTATTGATGGACCCTGCGTAAAGGCACGTTATTCTGAATGACCTCAAATATAAAAAAAAATAAAATAAACGGGCGAGGCCTTCGTAATAAACAATTCCCATCTCTATCTGCAGTTTCCACAGTTAATGCTTTCATTGGCCATTCTTGCATGTTAAAACACGGTTTCGCTGAATATGCACATTATCAACAACATGAATTTGTTTTCAGCACAGATTGAGAATGCGATACCGACTGAGGCATAGGCACCTATTATTGCCTCCTGGCGGTCCTATCCGTAACCACTAACAATGACTTTTACCTAACGACAAAATAAGGACAGAATGACAAAATTTATGTTTTTATTTTACTTACACGTAAGTCTAAATATATCTAATATATTTGTTACGAAGACAGAATACAGTTTCTAAACCATAACATAATAATGCATAATTTTTAATAAAATTAATTTATGACAGTTTTACGTATACAGCACACCATCGCCACAAAGAAATCGTTTAGATGCTTCGTTAGACCCTTCTGCTCAATTTTCGTATTCTTTTTCAGGGGAAAATAATGAAGAATCCAACTAAACAGGAACGTACCTTTCATATCTTCTATATACACGACACTCAACACCACATATTGTTTTCTTTCTGATATCAGTACTTTATCGCTTCACAGCACCACTGCACACAGCTAATGCCAGGACACAGTAAAATATCCAGTAACCACCTCTACAGACGACGGAACAGAATGTGAACAAGACTTGGCTGAGAAATTCCAACTACCGTAGAGTACCCCACGTCCCCCCAGCTGAGCTGTAATGAACTAGGTATGCCGTAACTAATGTTACGTCATTTCAACACAAGTAAGCGAGTTTCACTTTCCATTTCTCATGCAGTCTTCTCCTGTTTCTTTTGTGTTATTTTGGGCCGAGTCGCAATGTTCGTGTACAAGCTGAAATAAATTCGCTTGACACAGTGAACTACATAGAAGCTGATGCATTACTTACTCTGATGCTGTTCGGAACTGGTTGTCGCCAGCTGCAAACAAGATTTGAGTGTTCTTCTGCTGTTTCCTTTGTGTGTACTCCCTGAGAAACACCACCACTGCACACAGACTGTAGTGATATCAGCTGAGCTGTGAGCGTCAACATCACATGACCTCATCTTCCGTGATATTAGCTTTTCAAGGTTATCGTTGACTAACTTTTGTTCAGACTTCCCTGTATTATACTCCTATGTTTAGCCTAGTCATAGATCGAGAGAGAGAGATCCCACGGGCCCTTTTGTAACAGGAGGTTCAATGTGTCAATAAATTTAGCAAAATAAAGGTAAAGTCATCCCACTCAGGGCATGTATGTTTAGTTTGTGTGTGTGCGTTTTTCTGTGTTTGTGTACAGGTAGAGGCCTTGCGACGAACTGATCACCCACCCAAGGAGTCCTACCGAACGTGTAAGATCTAGAAAAACCGAAGTCAACGAAGAAGTTCATGGAGGTAGGCCTAGGCGCACTGGGGCTGTAGTGCCAAGAAAAAGAAAAAAGGTAAAGTCCCTGTGCTTAACTAATTAAGCACTACGCCATGAAGGCGTATGGGGGAATGGATGTATAGATCCACGTTTTCTTGACCTCGGAACTAGTTGGTGAATGGTCGGCTTCACGCTCCGGCTACTTTACCCCCGGGACGGAGTCCACTGTACCCATTGTATAGGAGATTGGGTGAGCCCCAGAGACGGTCTGGACGACTGGAGAAGTGAACATTCTTGACCCTACCGGGACTCGAACTCCGACCCTCTGGTCGTCCAGCCCATACACGGTAGCTATACCGACTACGCTATCCCGGCAAGAAGTTATGGGAAGAATTAATCTCCTACGTTCTTTAGATACGACACGGATCGCATAGAAAACGACGCTTCCAACAATTCATACATTGTTGCGTGTGTATTTGGTGCCGCGGTGACGTTTTCACCGAACCGTTTGTTTGCAACGATAGAGGGATTACACATATAGACAAAGAGCACGAGAGAATGGCTTTAAGAAGTAGGCTTTTGAAATGGGCTGAGATGCTATGATACTTGTATACACACCAAGTTTCCTAAAGACTGGCTGAAGCATTCAAAAATTGATAGGGGGATAAACAGGAACACAACATGGTGATCCCATAAGCCTACTTTTATTTTTTCAAAATAAGGAAAGTAAGATAAAATGATATATTTCAAGTTTCCACGATGGTTGTGAATAAAGTTTCACAGAGTTAATCATTCTTCCCTCCGTAAAAGAAATAAAGGTGACAGTAAATTACCCCTGTAGGCCGCGCCATAGCTCAAGCGGTTAGTCGCTGGCTTCCCAACGCGGCGGCCCGCGTCTGGTCAAGTGGTTTTGTGGTGGACAAAGTGGCGCTGGAGTGGGTTTGCTCCGAATGCTTCGGTTTCCCTTGCCAATCTTCATTCCACCAAATTCTCCATCATCCTAATCACCCGGGGCAGGTACAATAGGCCAATCAGTAGCCGCCGTGCCGAGTGGACCCAGCTGGACTCCACCCCCTACTAAGAGAATTAAAAAAAATTACCCTGGTTGATCTTCGAATATGAAGATTAATGTCGGTAAACGTCTACGACATTCTTTTGGTTTCTTCAACCCGCTCTGTTTATTAAAAATGGAAATACTTATGATACCATAAATACAAATATTCTAGCAGATCATATGGTGTCTCGTATGTCCCAGAAGGTGGCACTCTTCATATCACACATTTAATACAAGCCAATTTAGCTCTTAATAATCTGAATTTTGTACCCTTAGACTAATAAATTAATCATTCTTTAGTTTTTATTATACATGTTGAATGAAATCCCGTTAGAGCGAAATTCCGTTCGTCAGGGGTACCTGTAATATTTCATACAAACGAGGTTCCGGAAATTCGCTACAGCCTTATCTTCCTCGGTGATTCATTACCAATATACGGAAAATATTTTATTTATTTTTATTTTCTATATTAGCAGCTGGGGGGGGGGCACGCCGTAGCGTAATTGGTTGAGGCACTATGATACAAGTCGGAAGGCCGCGGGATCGAATCCCGAGAAGGTAATTAGATTTTTCAATTATCTTTCCAGCCACACTGTGGCGCTGGGGTCGACTCAGCCTCTAACAGAAATGAGTACCATGAATCTTCCTGGGGGTGAAGGGCGGCCGGCGTGTAAGGCTGACAACCTCACGGCCGTCTGTGAGCCGACTGTCTAGAAAATGTGGGAGCCTCGACCTCTCACAGCCCTATGGGTCTCCACGGCCTGTGACAGGGTCAGCTTTAACTTTTTATTAGCAGCTTGAATGGAGATTCAATTCTCATCCTCTAGGAATACTAAACTTGTACGTTATGCTAATCGCTAGGCCAAAATGGGATGGCTCAGTGTAGAATAAAAATAATACTTTTTGATCTCTCAAGATCTATTACTTCAGCCCGGAAATTATAGTTCTTTTAGGACAGGAAACACGGCCAATTAATAAAGGATGTAACCAAAATTACCTGTCTCTAATATTGCTGCGTAAAATGATCAGTGTGTTCGCTCTGGTTGCATACTGACATGGTGCTTGAAAGCTGGAATAGTGGAGCCAGAAATGACGTACATAACTAGGGAACGACTCTGCGAACACGCTTTCGCGGCATAAAATGCGCAGGCAACAATAGAAAAATAGTGCAACAGGACGCTAAAATATAACAATAGAAAAATTGTTGGAAGCTGTGTTTACCGTGGAGTCCGTGCGGAGGCTAAGTACCGGGGTCTCATCTGAATAGATTTCTCAACTCCTTTCAGTAAAAGCAACAGGATTCTGCATACCGGTAGGAAACACTGAAGTGTTGCTTGCAGTTGTTTATGATCTGTGCAAAGACCATGGAGTAACACAGACATCACAGACCTATTAGGTTTTAAAATTAGCCTATCCTAGCAGGTAACCTGAATGAAAAGCACCTTTCTTTTTTTGAACACTAAAGTTTTAAAGCGCTCAGGATTGAAGATTTCGGAATTATTTTTCAGTTCTAACTTCAGAATTTCAGCTCCAAATTCATGCGACGGACGATCACATCTTGAAATTGCAAGGCCTGCAGAACAGAGTACTCCGCGCTTGACAGGCGCACACCAGTCAGAGAACTGCACGTGGCTTTCAAAATTCCTTACCCGTATGACTAGGTAAGTAAATTATTTAGGACACAGGCCAAAGTAATCCTAAGCCATCTAAATCCAAATGTATATGGTATTGAACATGGAGAAACCATGCATAGGAAGTGTAAGAGGCTTAAACTTGGCGACGGTCAGGCTTACGTCCGTTCACCTGACTAACTGCAGTTTGAGAGTATTTGAATAAATGAAGACATAACCTGCTGCACGAGCCTGCATTGACAGGAAACCTCTGTATATCTTGCATAAATGTTACTCAGTACTGTGCAATGATAAAGGATGCGCAGAGTCCATAGTGACCTGGACACCGTGACAGCGCAGACATACTGAAACTACGGCGAAACAAACCTAGCACCTACATAGAAAGACCGATCCCTCCTTCGTCGAAGTGGAGGCCCAATTACTAAACACGTACACGTCTAGAAAGGACACAAATCTTGGTCATGGATCTCGAGGAGACTGAAGGCAGGGAAGACTGTGCTGACGAAAACCAGCAGTTATTTAACCAACCAACAGAGCTCCTTGAAACCTGTGTTTTTGATTTGTCAGTACTGGATGTCATGATTTGATTGTGAGAAAGCGAAGCGGAGTGCCTCGTGATTAAACTTCTCGTGAAGTGTCAAGCTCACACACAAGCTGCCTTTGTTCAGAATAGTGTCCACTATACTTATCTCCACACTACTGGACCAGACCTCGACTAAGAGGTGTTAAGTTTGGGAAAGAATCCGATTTTGGGACTGTTATTATATTAATTTTTAGATTTTCTGAAAAATGTAGGTGTTAAGGTTATGCTATTGATAGATCTTAAACAATAAGGCGTGAGGACGTGGAATGGATTTAAATGGCGAAATTTAACGAAAACGGTAATGAACTTCTGTGTCCATAAAGACGAGAAATTTCTTTACTATGTGTACGATAGTCAACTTCGCAAGAATTAATCTTCCATGGAATTATTGATATTAGTATTGTTATTTTTTATTATTATTATTATTATTATTATTATTATTATTATTATTATTATGTTTATTTGCATGTATTCGTGTTAACTTGCGGCAGCTTCGATTCCCAATGAGGTGGATTGTTCATTTGATCTAATTCTTCCAGCCACACTATGGCCCTGGGGTCGACTCAATCTCTAACAGAAATGAGTACCAGGAATCTTCCTGGGGGTTAAAGGGCGGCCGGTGGGTAAGGCTGACAACCTTAGTGACATCTGTGAGCCGGTTGTCTAGAAAATGCGGTAACCTCGAAGTCTCACAGCCCTTTGGTCCTCCATGGCCTGTTAGAGGGATAGCCTTACCTTTTTACTTTTTAAATATTGTTCTGATAATACACGTATTAATTGTATTTGCGATGAAAGTATATGTATATGTATATACACTTGTTCTCGTCGCACATTGGTTGGCGTGGCTAAACTAAATGTATTTTTATTATCCTCTAAGTAAAACAAGTTGATTCCTTCTGGCTTTTGTTCACATGTGTTCCTTTCATTCGTTTATTTGCTTGTGCTTGCTTCATGATTCGTCTTTTTTTCTGTTGAGTAAGCACGTAAATAAATAAAGGCTTGAACCGATTATTTGTATTATTATTAGCAGTATTATTATTATTAGTATTATCCCACTATAATACACTACTGTATCTGTTTAATTAGTACTTAAAAGTAAAGCATTGAATAGAATTACTCTCTCATGTTTTTAGTTTTCCTTTAGTAAGCAGGCCAGTCTTGGTTGGGAATCGCTGGTCTGCAAAGAAAATAATTCTGTTTACTTAATCTACTAGTCGAAACGGCGTGTTGCAAA